TTGTGCTAACTATATAAACACAAACATACACACACCCGACTGAGTTCAGCATCTTTTAACCATGCCCCACTATTTTAGACATTTTTATTTCCTGTTCTTGACAATTATTTGGCACCTTCTTATGTGTACAGTATAATTAATGGAAAGTAGCATAAGAAAATTAAGTGTCCTAATTAAAGATTAGAGGAAATGTTGCTTGGTTGTGTAAGTTAGGTTTCAATTTAGGTTATTAGAACTGGCTGCTGGCCTTTTGTCTGAGAAATTTGTTTTGTTGAGTAGTTTTGCTTTCTTTCAAATGAATGTTGCTGTTGCTTTTATTTTCCTAATACAGGAAGTAGTAATTCCCATTATTATATTAAGCTGTTTCCTTTTTAAGACACTTTTGCAAGCTGGGTCTGCGCAGTGCCCCTGTCATGCTCATCTTGTATATTGTGTGTGTGCTTCCTGAATCCATTTATGCATTGATGGAAACTATTAGCCTGCTGCTGCAGCCTTACCAGAGAAAGGTTGCTCAGTCTAAAAACCACTCTCCCATCCACAGAGAACTTTCAGTCTTGGACGATCTGGTGTGCTGCTAATACACAGTGATTTCCACACACAGTTTTAATGAAGGGCTGAGTGGGTTGGAGTGCTTTGTGCTTTGGAGTTTTCATTTCTGGCCATGGATTCAAATGTGGTTTGCATCAGCTGCAACTGGAAATAGTTGCATCTGATGGTGTGTCTTCACACAGCCCCCAGACCTCTTCAGGTCTTCTTGCCTGAGCAGGTGTTCATGCCACACAAAAAATAATGCTATCACCCCTGACTTCTGTGGAGGCTGCAGGGTTAAATTAATTTACCTCCATCCCCTCCCCCAGGTTGAGGCTTTGTAGGAGAATTCTCCTCTCCGCAGTCTTACGAAGTGATTTGTATCTGACAGTCACACCAGAAACTGATTTTAAGGGAAGAAGGGAACAGCATGATCTTTTAGAGTTCTCCTTAGTGCCTTTATGTCTTCAGTGGTAACCATCTTTCCTAAAAATGAGCTCGGTGTATGGTTTTGCTTTTTTCCTTTTTATATAGAATTTTTTTGCTTTATTTGATCAAAAAACTGACTTCAAGAGACTGTCAATTGGAAGTGTTCTAAAATTGATTATGATGATGGTTGTACAACTTGGTGGAAATACTACAAATCTGTGACTTTCAACTTTAGAAATGCTTGAATTCTGTGGCGTGTGATATATCTCAGTTAAGCTGTGTACAGACTCAGGATTCTCCTTCATTGAGAATTCTCAAAGCTAGTTAATAAGCCTGTGTGCTCACATTAATTTTACTGTGCTTTTATAGACCTTTTCATGGTATTCCCCTGAGCCTTTTCATTTCCTAGCTAAAAAGATCTAATTTTTTAAAGTTTAACATTATATTCATTCATTTTAAAAGCAACAAGTATATATTTAGCACCTCTCAAGCCCCAGAAGCAAATTATCATAGGAACAATAGTGATATAGGAAGAGAAGAGCAATTGTCACAGAAATTATTAATAATAAATTAAAGTAGCAATTGGAACTGCAGCCATTCTGTTGGGGAAAGCACAATAGTGTCTTAACTGTGATTGTGGTGACAGGGAGCCAACAATTGAGTTCCTGCTAATAGCCCAACAGGGGAAAGGGTTGAAAAGAAGGAATGAGTGGTTTACATTACAAAGGGATTGTCTGAGCATTGCTCAAGTGTGGTCATGAGGGGAGGTCTGGCTGGAGACTGGAGGAATGATAACCATGGAGCTGTCAAGGGCATCTTGGGGGTTTAGACAAGGGCTGTGGCAGCTAGATGCAGCCCACTGAAGCAGACATGTCCATGGCCCTGCCCAATGTTGATTGACAAAAAAGGAAGCACAATGAGAAGATAATTGAGCAAACCAGGAGGCCTGGACAAGTGTCACAGGATCTAAAAGTGAGTCCTGGGAGCCATCAGAACATTGGCTGAAAATACTCCGGCCTTCACTGTGATCAGAGTTGAACCATTCTGTGGAGAATAAAGCTGCTCTAAGAGGGTGTGTGTGTGTGTGTATGTGTGTGTGTGTGTGTGTGTGTAAAATGCTATGACTGGCAGATGTATTGAAAAAAGTATGTCCTTGACATCTGATGAACTCCTACTTATGGTTAGACATTTCTAGCACACACACACACACACACACACACACACACACTCTCTCACACTGCTTTTACTCGATGCTTTGGGGTGTATACAACAATCATAACCATCTAGAGTGCAGTCCACATCCATTTTCTCACTTGTTCTAATCCTGCCCTTTGTAGCATTTCCTCCTCATGGCCCATGCTGCAGACAATGATCAATGTATTTGTCATGAATTAGAGAAACAGAAAGAGCAAAGGGTATGAAGGAACAAATGGAGCAAAATGGCCACTACTTTGAAGCTAAGTGAAGGAAGTTCTCCGTGTGACACCCTGCTGGCCTCCTTACGGGGTCTCATAGGACTTGGACTCTTGCCAACTGTACCACAATCCCAATGGCTTCCGTTTTGCTCCTCAAACAAGCCAATCTATTCCCACCTTTTGTGTTTGCATTCAAACCTTGTTCTCCAGGCGCTGCACATGGCTGGTTTCTTTTTGTCATTTAGCTCTCAGTTGAAATGTCACTTCCAAGAGAGGACATCCTGCTCACTGAAATAATGAACCAATAATTTTCTGTTCCTCTATTTAAATGATCTGCCTAGGCCCCATCACTTGCTGATAATTTTGTCTTTCTTGTTCACTGGCATCCAAAATGCCCAAAACAGCACCTGACACCTGGTAGATACACAATTATTAAATGTATGTACTGATTGATTGTCCAAAGGTAGGGAGTCATTAAAAATTATGGCAATGCTGGGGCTGGAGAGATGGTTCAGCCGTTAAGAGCAATGGCTGCTCTTGCAGAAGACCTGGGTTCGATTCCCAGCACCCACATGGCTGCTAACAACAGTCAGTAACTCCAGTTCCAGGGAATCTGACACCCTCTTCTGACCCTTGCAGGTATTTCATGACACAGGTGCCCTTACATGTATGCAGGCAATACACTCATACACATAAAATAAAAATAATAAATAAAATAAAATGATAATGCCTTATATGTATATGCTTTATGTAAGAAAGTGCTCCACAACTCCAATCATGGGATTCAAGTGAGATACTCAGGGCCTTGCAAGATGGCTCAGCAGGTAAAGGTGCTTGCTGCCAAGCTTGATGACCTGAACCCATGTGGTGGAAGGAGAGAATTCCCAAGAGTGGTCCCTTCACCTACACAAGTGCACTGTGGTTCATGCCCTCCCTCCCCCCACACACAAAATAAATGTTTAAATTTTCTCTTTAAAGGCCTTGGTCCTACATTAGAATATTGGTGAATAAATGCACACTCATATTTTAATATTAAATATTTGAGATCTATAAAATGATTCTATATTTTTGACTCTAATAGACTACTCTGATTATGAATAACTACACAAATTATCTTGGTTAAGAAGACATATAGTGTCTATTAAAATATAGTTTAGACTATAAATAAAATTTGGAGTCAGAAAAGACTTTAAGTCTGGTGTGCTCAGTGAGTTGCATGGAAAAGTAGTGGTGATTTATGTGAGCTTTGAAAAGACTTATAGGACTTTTGAGGGTAAACAAGTAGGAAGAAGAAAGGTAGGAGAGGAGCAACGACAGTCACACACAAGACGGAGGAGATGGTTCATACTGAATAGAAAGCTCATGGTTTGGGGGTAGTGAGAAGCAACCTGAGAGCAGAAGACAGAATCACATGTGGGAAGATCTACTTAAAATCAGGCAGAGAGAGGTTTTTAGATTGGGAATGAAGAAAAATAGAGAACTGTTATAAATTCTTGAGATACGATGAATATGATGACGTGGGTATTTTAGGAAAATTACTCAGTGCAGGGAATGAAGCTGAGCTGGTAGTTGGGGGTGTAATACCAGTATCCATCTGGTGTTCATGGCAGTCTCCAAAAATCAGCCTCTGCTCTGCTTTGCCTGGATACAGCCTCACTGTGGCTTCACTGGGCCTCCTGGCAGCCATTACGAATCAGTCGCACTGGCCCTGAAGCCTGCCTGCCTCCCCCCGTGTCACAGAGAAGAGAACGCAAGAAGACAAGAAGAACGGGAAGGCCCAAAAGAGGGGAACCTAGATTTTTAGAAGTTTTGCAAATAATATAAGAAGGATAAATATCCTAAGTTGGGACTTTTGTGTTGGTAGGTTTGTATTTTAATTAGAGCCAAAAATAGAGATCTTTTTGTCTAAGTCATTATTCAGTTGTTAAAGAAATGTTTGCTTTTTCTTTGGAGGCCTTTGTTACTGTTGTACAGTTTGTAGGGAGCTGGTTTTTGGTTTTGGGTTTTTTTTTTTTTTAAGGCCTTTCCTTGAATATTTAATAAACCTTGAAAATAGTAACACTAGCAAATGATATACTGAAACAAAACAGAGAAAAGGAAAAAGACTCTCTTGCCTGTTTTTAATCTACAAAGATTTGGAGGCACCTGCTCTGTCCATTTGTGGGAGTTAAGTTGTCAGAATGTGCTAAGATGCTATTTTGGGTTTAAACAAAACAAGATTTTGTTGTCTGCTGTTTTTATAAAGGCCATTTTTAAGTTGCAAAATAGCAAACAAAATTAAACATAAAATTGTCTCAGCTCAGTGGCAGTGGGGGAAGCTTCTGTTGCGTCAGGGTGTGGGCTTCAGGCAGAACAGAATGTTTATCTTAGCTGCATGTTGAAGTTGGAAAATAAAATTAGCAATGGCCAAAAGGCCTTCTTCTGAATAACTTATCACAAAAGGGAAAACATAAATCTAGTGGCAAATCACCCTCCTTTCTAAGCTCGTATTTCTTGGCTACATCTGAGAACATAATTGCTTCACCATAGAAAATTTTATTAGTTTTTACTGATAACTTTTCTTCTCCTTTTTCTTTAATTTTCTTTTCTCTTCTCTATTTTTTCCATTACCTATGGCTCATAATCAAGAGCTTACAAGACCCTATGAAAAAACTAGTTGAGAAAGAAGGGAAGAAGAAGAGCGCCCGACGGGAAAACTCAGAGGCTGCAGGGCAGGAGCCAAGTCAGTAAGTCACAGATTCTCCCTTCCCCACGAGCTTTCTCCCAACAAGGGAGGGTAAACAGGCCTCGCAGCCCAGCCCAGATGAGGCCACCAAGACACAGGGGTGGCCCCAGGGCTTCATCCCAGTGTCTTATGAGTGGCTGGCAGGCTGGAAAGGGCCGATGCCTCATGCTTTCAGCCCTGGGCCTCAGCCCAGGCCATGTCCTCTCTAGGCTCTGGCTCTGACCGTCTGGTAGCATTGTCACCAACACTCACAAGATATTCTAGACAGGAAGTCTTCCACCTTTTTCCTTCTAGAAATCAAATTGCTTCAGTAATGTATTACCAAAACTAAACTATTACCCCCCCCTAAAAAAAAAAATTCTGGGATTGTGGCATTTTGTTCTCACTGTTCTGGCTTTCTGCTTTCTCTTCTTTGAGGCAAAGCATAGCCCCAAGTACAGGGAGTGACTGCCCTGCCTCCGTTTCTTGCCTCTCATCATTGTAAACACTGAGGTGATTTGCAGCACAATGTTACTCCCAACACTCTACAGCAAGGAGCTTTAAATGTGTAGATTGTTTTTGGAGATGAACAGCCTACAAGAATGGCTGACAGAGGAAAACACGGGAGCCACCATCCTCCTCATTCTATTTCTTTCTACATACCACCAAAATTTAGATGACAATTTTATATAAAACAGGCTTCTATTTCTACTGTATTTCTAATGAAAGTTTTAGATATTTATTTTTTGTCCTATAGAAATATTTACTACCACTGTTAGCCCTCTTTCATTTTAAAATATTTTATTTATTTATTTATTTATTTATTTATTTATTTATTTTATTTTATGTGTATGTGTATATTGCCTGCATGTAGGTAAGTACACCCGTGTCGTGCAGTGCCCGCGGAGGACAGAAGAGGTTGTTGGATCCCCTGGAACTGGAGTTCAAACAGCCATTAGCTGCCATGTGGGTGCTGGGATTCGAACCTGGGTCTTCTGCAAGAACAGTCAGTGTTTTTAACCACCTCTTTCATTTTAAAGCAAATGCTAGAAAGTTTCCCTGATGCAGAACCAAGACAAGTTTTCATAGATGAAGAACAGAATGTGATCTGGATCTAGCACAATTGGCTATTGAGCAGGAGCCCGTGTAGCCCATCACTGGCAAGGGTCACCTAGTTGAGCACCTGCTACATGCTGGTCACAGTGTTAGGGGCTCTGTGTTTCACATTCCCATGCTGATCCTTGTCTATTCACTGCAACCATGTCTACCCTGCATAGAGGATGGAGTGTAACAACTTGGGGAAGAAAGGGTTTATTTCATCTTACACTTTACAATCCATCATCAAGGGAACCTGGAAGCAGACACTGAAGTAAAGACCATGGAGGGGGGCTGGAGAGATGGCTCAGTGGTTAAGAGCACTGGCTGCTCATGGCCACAGAGCAAATTGATGAAGGAAGTTCTTCAACTGAGGCTTCCTCTTCCCAAGTGTGTCAAGTTGACAGCTGAGGTTCACCATGACAGGTGAGCTACATGAGACCCTGTCTCAAAAAAAAAAAAAGGTTGAGTGCCTATTCCATGCCTGGTCTATCAAATGCCATGCCCAGAGTGAGTCCCCATACCTTCTTTTCACCTTCTAAGTGAATGTAGTCACAGTAAAGCACTAGTCTTTACTCCAAAGGCAACTACATAGGAGTTTCTTGACGTGTTTTAACTTCAGATCGCTCAACTAATTTAATATCTCATGTTTAAAAACTAAACAGATATAACCAGTCACTATTTAAAATGACTGAACATTTAATAGAATTTTTCTTCATAAATAGCAGGTAAAGCAAACCACCATGCTAAGAAGAACCAAATGAGGCTCAGGGTAGTGAGGGGTTTGTAAAGTCACAGGAAGAGCTTAAGTAGGTGACTTTTCACCTGGGTTTGAGAATGATCCTGCTTTCAGCCTTCTGTGTAGTTTACCTCTCTTTTAACACTGAGAATCAGAATTAACCACTGCTTAGCCATCCCTTTCTACTGCTTTTCAGAGTGGTAACTGTGTATGCATTGTAGTTATCCCTAATTACCCATTGAGATGTTTACAGAGTATGTACCTTATGGTGAAATAACACTCATATATTAAGGTACTATGGAATAGAGCCAGGCATGTTGGTGCATGCCTTTAATCACAGCACTTGGGAGGTGGAGATGGAGTCCAGCCTCATCTACATGTTTACATTGTGAGTTCCAGGCCAGCTGGGGCTACAGGAACACCTTGTCTCAAAAAGCACCCCCCCTCAAAAAAGATGCTATGGAATGTCACAGAAAGCCAGCAAAATTATTTCTTCCTCAGAAAATGTAGAATAGGCCATGTAAATGATCTCCCTGTGTGTGTTGTTATACGTGAATGATAGATGTTATAGTGAATCTTTGACTGTGTCATTTATGTTATATTTATATAACATGTGCAACTAAACTTTATTTTTATGTTAAGATTAATTTCCCTGGAGGAGGAAAACCAGCACAAGGAATCCACTACTTTTAAGAGTAAGTTTCAACTTTCCACCTAGAATGGCTTCTGAAACACTACTTTAATGCCCAACAGCCAACTTGTTTGCCCTTTTGGCAAATTCCCTCTTGGCCTTCTTCTTTTCCATTTTCAGAAGACTATTAATTTGCTTTCTGTAGTCTCAGATATTAATGACATCAACCCTATAGCATTCCAGAGAAACATCATGTATCTTGAAGTAGAAAATATCATCTTTAGTGACTCAGCAGCCCTTCCGGGGAGCAGTCACAAGTGGGACCTGGCAGACAGCTTTTCTTTCCGGAAGATGATAAGAATTTTGAATTGCCCTGACTAATCCTAACTGCCAATCTTATTGCAATCTTGATACCATACTGAGGGTGTGGTCTTTGGTGATTTGTGGATGGCGTTGGTCAAGGGGGAGCTCAGACCCTGCCCTCCCAGGTATTCCTCAGGCCATGTTAGGGAGTGGCGCCAGCTCCCTCAAGTAAACTGATGTCTTAGGAGGAGAGTCAGAGCATTGGGAGGTGGCTCTGCAGTGAAGGGCTTTCCACCACCCCTGGCTCCTGCATTGCTACCAGCTTTTCCATTGGTTCCCCACTAGTAAATGGGTGCAAGAACTGTACTAGTATGGTAGAACTAATGTGATACAATTCTGAGCCCTTCACCAGGTCTCAAAATCTCATAGATGGAGAAGGATGATTAATGTTATGTAGATAACTAGAGGTGTTATGTGTAGATAACTAAAATCACCAGCCTTCTGTTCAGCCAGGCCCTCCTGTGGACAAACTGAGCACAGTCCTGCCTTGAGCTAGGGGTAGGGAAGCCTTTCCAGGAAATGAGAGGTGTGAAGCAAGTCCTAAAACTTTTCTTCTACTTCATTCTTCTTCACTCTTGCTCTCCCTTCCTATTTTTCCAACCATTTGCCTTCCCTATCTCCCCCACTTACTCCTTCATTTGCTATTTTTTAATTTAATTATTTTTATTGTATGTGTTGGAGTATTTTGCCTACATGTATGTAATTATGCCCATGCATGTAATGCCCATGGAGGCCAGAAGAGGATGCAGGATCCCCTGGAACTGAAGTTACAAATGGTTGTTAGCTGCCATGTGGGGGCTGAGAACTGAACCTGGGTCCTCTATAAGAGTAGACAGTGCTCTTAACTGCTGAGCCATCTCTCCAGCCTCATATTTATTTTTTTATGTACTATGTATCAGTGTTTTGCCTGCCTGTTCATACATGTACCATAAACATGCAATGCCTGTGGAGGTCAGAAGAGGGCATTGGGTCCACTGGAACTGGAGTTACAGATGGTTGTTAGCCATCATATGAGTACTGAGAACTGAACCCAGTTCCTCTGTAAGAGCAGCAGGTGCTCTTAACCAACCACTGAGCCATCTCTCCAGCCCCCACTTGATTTTGTCTTTCTGCCTTTCAATAGAGAAATAGAAAACAGGAAAACAAAAACAAATAGGAGTGGCACATGCCTATAATCCCAAGCCTATAATCACTTGGGAGGCAAAGGAAAAAGGATTAGGAATTCTATCGTACTCAGTTATACATAGTCTTAGGCCTGGCTGGGCTTTAGAAGACCTTATCTATTTTACTTTGTCTTCCTATGTCCTCACGTGTGTGTGTGTGTGTATGTGTGTGTGTGTGTGTGTGTGTGTCGTGTGTGTGTGTGTGTATGTGTGTGTGCGTGTGTGTGTACTTTCACAGACTGTAGTCGTGGGGCTTGGGCTTGTCCACTGTTTCAGCAAGTGTTTGCCAGTACCACTTCTGTGCCAGGCACAGAAGGTAGTGCACACCACATATATTTAGGTCTTCTGGAATGAGGCTTACAATCTGCAGGGAAAGAAGATGGCAGCAACTGTTATCTGTCCAACTATAACATTAGTGAGAGCTACCTGCTAGTGTAAGACATAAAAGTAGAAGCAGCAGCCTAGGCAAAGGAATGAGCCAGGAAGGACCAGGAAAAGTCAGAACAAGGACATTCTAGAGTCTGAGGGAGAGTAAGTTGTAGGGAGGCCAGGCCTATTTTTGTAGCCATAGAAGGGCTATCTGTCTGTATTGATCCAGGTTTCCAGCCTCAGTGTCCCTCAGTGGACCTACAGCATCAATGTTGAACCATCAGTGTTATAGGAATCAAGGTAATTGAATAGAATATATTTAGTTCTATGGAGACTGTAAACTCTAGCTTATTATAGTCATATGAAAGTTATAAACCTATATAAATTATTTATTTGTACAGCAAATGACTATACAGAAGAAGTCACAAAGTCTCTCTCCTTACATAGTTTAATTGGGTGTGATATTTGCACAATGTTTTGACTGTAAATGCCTGTCAGCTTGTTTTATATATGCATAGAATGGACTCCATTATGATAAAGCAACATCTGTCTTTTATTCTGTGA